TCTCTCTCTCTCTCTCTCTCTCTCTCACCTTAACCGTGCCCTGGAGACCTGAAGAAAGAGCGAGTTTATTTTGACTGAGAGATTGTTAAACTGCAGGAGGCAAGTCAGAGTCTCTGCCAAGCTGTGACTTCCATTGCTCCCCAGGGCTGCAGCTATGGGTGCTGAGAATAGCCAAGGCTGCTTCCTGCTGGAGGAGGAAATGGCAGTTTCCTCAACTCCCGGAAGTGCTGCTTCCTCTCTGGTGCCTACCTCAATGTTCACCCATTAGACAGCCTCTTCCCTCCCCAAGCCCCCAGAGACCTGGCTTGAGCATGGAGAAGACATCCTGCTTCCCCTGAGGAAGTGGCCCAGATTGAAGCATCCAGCAGGGTATTTGAGTGGGGAGTGAGGTGGCCGAGGGGCAGGAAGGGGCTGCCAAGCAGCAGTAGTAAAGTTATCAAGTGTCCACTAAGAAGAGCGCCCCACCCACCCCTTTGTCCCCACTCCCTGTGACCTAAGTAAACTTGACAAACTCTTCCAGCCTCTGTAGTCCAAAGTCCTCCCATAGCCACTTTCTGTTTTTTAATTGACACATTCTAATTGTGTACCTATTTATGGGGTACAATGGGATAATTTGATACATGTATACAATGAGTAATCATCAAGTCAGAGTAATTAGCATTTCTGTCTTCTTACAGGTTTGTCATTTCTTGTGTTTAGAGCCTACAAACTCCTCTCTTCTAGTTCTTTACAAAATACTTAACAAGTTGTTATACTCACCTTACTGCCCTGTAAAGCACTAGAACTTATTTCTCCTCTGTAACTGTATTTTGCTACCCCATGTCTCTTCTGATTCTCAAAGACTCTGCCTCCTACATCTGCCATCTTTATTCTGGATCACATTATCCCTGACCTCCCCCAGCCAACAACAACAAAAAACTCAGTCCCTTTCTTGGTTTCTACAAGAAAATATACTCACAACACACATTCTGGGAGAAACATGGACAAGCATTGAATGGCCACAGAGCACCATAGAGTTGGCCAGGAAGTAGACACACGGAGGTTCTGGAACCAACCTCCTTGGGGCCAAATCCCACCTTATACCCTTACACTCCCGACTAGCTCTACTTTGTTGGGTGGGTCATTTAATTTCTCTGATCTCTGTTTTCCCTCTGGCTGTAGGAGGAGTGGTGTGTATCCCTTCAGGGTTGTTGGAAGACTCAATGAGATAAAGCACTCAACACAGAGAAAGCATTTTTCATAGTTTCATACTCAATAATCAGTTCATGACGATTTTACTCTGCTTCTTCCTCCCTTTCAGAAGGAGACAGACAGCTCTCCTTGGCTCTAATGAAATAATGGCTCTCCTTCTCTGCAGTCTTGCTACCCACCGGTATTCCCACTGTGGACTTTCAGCTTCTATAGGAACAGACCTCATGAGGACATTTCTCTGTGTGCTCTCTTCGTGGGGAGCTTATTTGCACAAAAGCTTCAAGCCTAAGTCTCCCCAATCGCATGAAAAACATCTGACCAGGACTAACTAAGAGACATTTTATGAAATATCTACAGCCCACACCTTCATGGGAAATGACCTCTTACTTAGAGTATAATACTTACATACAGTTTCTTTTTTCCTTTGATTTGATAGACTATTTATCTCCAAAGCTACTTAGGTTCTCAACATTTTCCTCTTCAGTGTGGTTGCTTCATACATTTTAATACAATTGAATTGTTTTGTCAAGTTATTGCATGCAATCTGGGAATCCCTTGACCTCCTAAATGATTTTTCAACTTGAATACATTAAAGTTCACCCTGTACCACCCAGTTCTACCTGTGCCTACTATGTACCCACAATTACAGTCTCATACAGAATTGTTTCATTGCTCAAAAAAAATCCCCCAAACTTCCCCTATTCAATCTTCCCAAGTCCTGGGCAAAGGCTGATCTTTTCATTGTCACTGCAGTTTTATCTTTTCTAGAGCAGCACATAGTTGAGATCATACAGTCTATACCCTTTTGAGACCCTTCCTTTTCTTAGTGATGATATGCATCTAAGATTCATCCATATCTTTGTCTAGCTAAATAGCTCGCTATTTTTTAAATCATGAAGTAATATACCATTGTGTATACACACCACAATTTGATTATACATTCACTTACTGAAAAACATGGGGAGTTCATAAGTCTTAACAACTATGAAAATAAAGCTGCTGCCAACATTATTGTGTAAGGGTTATTTGGGACCTTAGTTTTTAAATCAGTTGGAAAAATACTAGCAGTAAAACTGCATTATCTGGTGAGAATGGATTTATTTTTGTCAGACACAGCCGCACTGTCTTCTAACATAGCTCTACTAGTTTTCATTCCCAGAGCAATGAATGAGAGTTCATGTTGCTCCACACTCTGATCAGCATTTGATGTTGTTGGTGTTTGAGATTTGGGGCATTCTAATTGCTTGGAGGGACATCACACTGGTGTTTCAATTTGCAGTTCCCTAATGAGAGACCGTGCTGATCATCTTTGCATACCTCATTTGCCTTTGGTACATCTCTTGTGGTAAGGCATATGCTTTAGATCACTTCGTCTTTCTTTGTTCGTTGTTTTTTGAGACAGAGGCTCACTATGTAGTCCAGGCTGGCCTTGAACCCACAGCAATCCTCCTACCTCAGCCTCCCCAGTGCCATTTCCTCCTTTTTAAATTTCACTGTTTTCTTATTGTCTGTGTTATGCATTCTTTCCCTATTTGAGATATAAGTCTTTTATCGGATACTTTTCTCGCAAATAGTTTCTCATCCTCTGTGGCTAGTCTTTTGACCATCTTAATATTGTCTTTCACAGGGTTTTTGTTTGTTTAAATGAAGTTCCAGTTACCAATTTATTCTTTCTTGGGTCTTACCTTTGGTTTTGCATCTAATAACTCCTCACCAAACACTTTTATAAGATTTCAAACTTATTCTCTTATATACTTATCAGATCACTGTGCTCTACTTCACCGGGGGTATCTGTCACCTTGTTCTCTGAAGCACCTTTAGCCCGGTGAAAAAGCCTATGGATGAAAGAGGATAAATACACAAAAGCAGGCAAAGGCAAATACCAAATGACTGAAATTTCTTGTTCAACCTTAATACCTGTGAGGACTGGCTAACTCTTTTACTGTACAGTTGTACTTATTTTAACATAATATTATGTTATTTTTGCTGGCGTACACATTCACAGGCTCACACACACAATCACTACCACCATCATTTTGATAAAGCTGGTGCATTAGTACCCAGTGCCATGTTTATTGATGGGGTGACTTAGGATCCCTGGCACAATGACATTTCCTCCCAGAAACCTCGGTATGTCAGTCTCGAAGCAAACAGGCCTACAGCGATGGGCAAGGTCAACTGCCTGGTCCAGGGTCACATAGCTCCCAAGTGGCAGACCCAGGATTTCACTTCACAGATTTGTGTGTCATCCTTGCATAGGGGCCATGCTAATCTTGTCTGTATGGTTCCAAGTTTAATGTATGTGCTGCTGAAGCGGGCACCAGACCCAGGGTTTCAGTCCCCAGTGAGCAATTCCAAAGCCTCGCTCACAGGAAGCCCTCAAGGACCAGGGTGCCCTGGGCCCTGGGCCAGACACAGCCCACTCGAGGCTGACATCAGCCTAGTTCAAGGAGCCGAGCGGCCCTCCAGCCCTGCTGACCCGGCTTCCCAGGGCTTCACAGCCTCCTGCCTCGCACCCTATAATTTAGGCTTCCCTCTTCCTCCAAATCATAAACTACCCAAAAGAAAAAGCCACTCCAAGCCATGCTTGTCTCTGAGGTGCAGGAAAGAGAGAAGGAACCAGCCTGAGGGTGACGATAAGGAACCTGAAAGAATTACCATTTTTAAATGATAAAAAAGCTTTCTGTACCCAAACAATTTTTGCTGAAACAACAATGCACACAATAAAACACACTGAGAGAACTTATAATTACAGCAAATTAAACTGTGTCACAGCGCCTACCCGGCTGTGAGAACCTTTTATTTCTTGGTGCAGGCCTGCGTGATGGCCAGGCTGGGGTGGCCACAGCTCTGAAAGCAGCAGCTTTCTGAGAGAAAGAGGTCATTCTCTCAGCACAGTGACCTTTGCCCTCCTAGCCGAGGGCTGATGGCTCCTCTGGAAAGAGTGGGAGCTGCAGGCATCTTTGTGAGGGCAGCTTTCAGAGCCCAGCGCCTGCCCTGCGAAAGGACTCATGGGATGGGATGCGTTCTTCAGACATCACCATGGGGCACACTGGTGCCCCCAACTCCAGCCTCTGAGGCCCAGTGACCTCACCGGTGTCCCTGGAGTCCAAGACCCACGTATAAGCCTCTAGGGCAGCAATGGCCAACTGTGGCCTTGGCTAACATCTCTGGGCACTTTCCTGCTGCAAGGCGAAGTGAAAGGACTCCAGGTGGGGCTGGGCAGGTGGACTCCCCTGTCGGATGGGAGAAATGACATGAGCTGAGTGTCTCATGGGCACCGGCCTTCACAGCTGGCTGCCAGGCTTGAGGTCCTGCGCATGCCCAAAGTTTCCTCCAGATGTCTGGGAGCACAGAGTGCAGCACTCTCGGCCAGTCCTTCCCTTTTGCTGCAGCTGCTGCGAAGTCTCCACCTACTCTTGCTGCCTGGGCCTGCAGCTCTGCCCTCCCAACCTCTGAACCCCCAGAGTCTGCAGGGTGAGATTCAGGGTGACTGCTGCTCTGTCTCCCAAATGAAGCTCGGAGCCCCACTCTGATCAGTGTGGCTGAGGGACAGGGCTGGAACAACAGCTCTCCCGCCCAGGCCCAGAGGCCAGGCAACCTTGTTACTAAATCCTCCTCCTGGATTAACCCTGTGCCCAAGGATCGTCCACAGGAATGAAGAGATGAAACGGGATGGACACTTCCAGCTGAAAGTAGATGGTGCACAGCACACGGCAGTTGTCACTCTTGTCCTTCAAGTTATTTGCAGGTAGAGGCTCCCCTGAAAAGAAATGGGACAACAACAAGTTGAGTTTGTCCCAAGCTCTACCAGCTTTGTGGCCTTGTAGAAGTTACTTCACTTCTCTGGGTCTCGATTCCCAGATCAATGGAGGGCATTGTAGCAGTATGTGGAACTAAACACGCTCTGTAACCCTTGTGATCATGAGGGTGTTCATCGGTGTGTCTCATGTTCCCAACTGGACACACTGTCCGTGCTCTCAGTCTCCGAGGCCTATCTGGCTCCTGCTACAGCTAACGGGTGGCTTGAGGGCCCAGATGGACGGGCTGAGAACTGCACAGCTGAGAGTCATTTTCTGATCTGCCGGACACGGCCCTCGGCCAGGCTGCACCTCTGGCAGCTTCCTGGATCAGACCTCTAAAAGCAGCCACACACACCAGGTCCCAAACTCAAGATCCCTTCCTTTCCTGTATCTTCAGATAAACAAGCCAAATACAGTAAGAGTAACTTAAGAGATGAACCTTTTTTTCTTTTCTTCTTGTGTAAAAATTCTAGAAAGGAGCAATCTAGGGCACTAAGGTCTTTGGGAACCCAACTTCCTGGGTCTTTCTGTTCCTGCAACCTCAGCACATGCCCACCCTCAAGATCATCCCGTAGTCCAAACTGTTTCTGCAGCTCTAGCCTTGTGTCACATTCCATATTTTAAAGGAAGAGGAAAAAAGAGAGAAGAGGGTGTGGCAGGGAAGAAGGGAGGGAGGAAGAAAAAAGGGAAGAAGAAAGCACAAAAAGAGAATTTGAACCTCCATCTCTCATCTTCCTCCCTTCCCTCTTTGTCTCAAGCCTCATCACAGTTCTGCAAGCTACGTCTTGCAGCTTAAAAGGCTGAGAAATATATATATTTTTAATGGACATATTACAACTCCTGATTCATTTAAATTACTTAAGAAGAAGACTGCACCCCAGCAGGCAGCTGGCAAGCTCAGCTACAATTTCTGAGCTGATCTACAGAAAGCAACATGAGTCCTGCAGTGAAGATCCAGGCAGTTGGCAACTGTGAGGCATTGTGGGTCGGGGCATTCGTTGCTGTGTTGTTCTCCCTCTTTTGTCTGTTTTGGCTTCTTCCTACACACAGGACGTCGGCTGTGCTGCCTCACCTCCCCAAGTCCTCTCAGGGCTAACCTGGAGGGGAGACTACCAGACCAACCTTAGTGACCTGACTCTGGGGACAAGGGGTTTTTTTTTTTTTTTGGTACCTGGGATCAAACTTGGGTCCTTGTGCTTGCGCAGCAGGCAGCAAAACCACTGAGCTAAATCCCTGGCCCTGGACAAGGTTTGTTCTCACAATCCTTCGTTCATGAACTCAACAGGAATCTACTGAAGCATCTCCTGTGATGACTGAGAAGACATCCACTAAGAGAAGGTGTGCCGAATTCCATTTTAAGGGCAGGAACAAATAAATGGCCAGTTGGGAGCAGAGCACCTCACAGCATAGAGGTCCTCCGCAGAGTCATGGGAACGCTTCACAGATGGGGCTCCGGGGAGGTGCAGGTGCAAAGGTACAGGAGGAGAGCCACATGTGAAAGAGTGTATCATGTTCCGGAAGTAGTTCCCCCAAAACACTGACCATCCCTCCCACAGCGGCTCTTGTTCCTAAGCATTTTCTGCTGCCTGGTATTGTTCACTCTGCCTATTTGAGATGGGATGGATCTTGGATAGGATCCCAGCTCCGTAATATAACGATGCGAATTCAGAGCAGGGCTTCAGTGTCCTCCGCATCAGTGCCCTCTGCCATTGGAATGAGATACCGTGTATAAACCTGCCTGGCAAGGTCCTCGCCCGGGACTTCGCTTAGGACTTTGGGGCTCCCCCTCTCCCCATGCTCCCAAAACAGCCTAGTCCATTTCAGGGAGCCAGGGAGAGGAGACAGCCACAGGCAAGTGGCCTCCTAAGGAGCACAGAATGCTATTAAGAATCAGGAGAGAGAAACTATGGTGCCTGCCAAGGAGACCACACTGCTCATCCTGAAGAGCAGCTGGCCCAGAGCTCACAGCACAGGCAAAGGTCACTCCTCACGGAAAACAAACTGCCACACCATGTGGCCCTGTGACCTCTCTCTTCAAAATCCCATGACTGCGGTGCTCGCTTCCTCCCCTGGAAAATGGGAGGTGATCCCAGCCTGCAGGGCTGCTGGGCTGTAGGCTTGGGCTTGCTAGCGTTTGGCGAGGAGGAAATGCAGGCCAGTGTGAGGACAGAGCCCCTTCATGCAGCTCTGCCAGGATGGCCCTCACCCTGGGGCAGTGGGCTCCTTGTGCCTTCCCTTGGGTCCTCCTTGACCCCCAGCCTCCCTTCATTCCTTTCCCCTTCCCACCCCCCCCCCCCGCCCCAGTCCTTGACAACTGTGTCTCCACAAAGCCCTTCGGAGGAGGACACTCTTCTACACTGATCTCACAACCTCGGAGGTCCTCCGACCCAGCCCCACCACAAGCCAGTTTCTCTCCTTCTACTTTTTCACGTTGGGTCACTTTCCCACCTCACTCAGCAAGGACACCTGGCCTCCCACTTCCGCTGATCATCTCTCGGAGGGCTGTCCCTCTGCCCCCTCCACCAACTGTTTCAAACCCAGCCTCACTTTGATGCTCCAGTCAAGGCCACCCAAACTGTGTGCTCTGCTGTGACAATTTCAGTTCCCCAAAATCGCCACGCTCCAGCTCACCCTGTCTTTATCCTTCAGGCCTCGCTTTAGACACCACCTCCTTGACCCTCGCCTCCAACCCCCTTAGATCAGGTGTCGAGGCTATGAGTTCCTTTTGGACCTGTGTTTCCCCATCACAGCTCTCAACTTTGTTGAAATGAACCCAGTTTTACCTTTCTCTCCCCCTCACAACAGACTGTACAAAAACCAGAGTTTCTCTCCCATCTTCAGAGTTATGTCCCCAGTGGCAAGCACAATGTCTCCCTGGGGCAGGGGCATGAAGGATCTACCAGGGATGACCCCACCCCTCACCACTTCACTCTGCACTGACTCCTATCAGAAGCACAGCCACAAACAGTCGCTTTGTTCAGTGCACACCACTTGTCCAGTGCTACTGTGGGTCACGCGGCAAGCTATCCCCTGGGCTCCAATGATGAATGAGACCAAAACTGCTCCTATCAAGAAAGTGCCAGGCTGGAGGAGGCAGGAAACGTCACCACATGGCAGGATGCAGCCATCAGCAGAAATACAACCCGCTGCTGAAATGAGGAAGGAAGGAGCCGAAGACTTTGCCTGGGAGTGTCAAGGAGGGCTTCTCAGAGGAAGTGGCAGATGCTGATAGGTCCTTTCAGAAAAGGGAGACGCTTTTCAGGTTGAAGAAAGAGGACTGGGGCAGCCAAAGTAGAGGAAGTAGCGTTCATAGATAGGGAAGAAGAAAAAGGGCCACCATACCAGGGGAAGGATGGGAAGCTGTCTAATGAGGGTAGAAAGTCCAGGAGGGGAGGAGACCACAGGGCTTCAGATGAAGGCATAAAGGTAGAGGTGAAGAGGAAGGGCCCAGCCTGCCAGGTGAGGGCCTGACCCTGTCGTGAGGGGAAGCCGTGCAGACACTTGAGCATGTAGATCAGGTCTCCAAGATCAAGTGTTAGAAAGATGACTCTGCAGACTCTCATCTCACTCGCCTTCCATCCTACTCCTTACGGACCAGTAGTTCCCAAAGTGGGGCCTGAACCAGAAGCTGTTGAAAGTGCAAACTCTGCAGCTCACTTCTGACCTGCTGGAATGAGAAACCCTGGGGTGGGGCAGGCAATCTCCACATGGTTGAGACCTCCAGGTGATGCCAGTGCGTGCTCCAGTGGAGGGGTGACCCCTGCACCCGTATGCTTGCTTTAGCTCCAGAATTCTGTGGAAACACATCTAGAGTGAAGGTGCCCCATCATGGGATACTTACACTTCTCCAACAAACATTAGAGCATACCTACTGTGTAGACAGGAGGCAGGATGGGTCTTCCCTTAGGCTCCCTTTCATCTTTTGCTCAGAAGCATATGGAGGACATACCGTGTAGATTCTTGACCTTAGACACCCCCTCAGTTTGAGCACAGACTCCCTCACTGTTGCCAGAGTAGAAGCAAGGACTCCAATGGCAAAGTAAGAGAGGACAGAGCTCCGTCCTCAGTTCTGCCTGCAGGAGGTGGCAACCAGCAGAGCCTCCTAGGTGTGCATTGGTCTAGCTCCCTGCCCAGGGGTCCTACAGAAGGAGCTCCCAGCTGTAGAGGAAAGAGTGGGGGAGTTGGGGAACACAGAAAAGACCACATGTGTTTCATATTATATGCAGCATTCTTTGTGGGGTCCTCAGTGAAAAACACCCGTGGCCAACCATCCCGTTTCAGAGGGAAGGGCCTCGGGAAAGAGGACTTCAGCTGCTGGCTTTATCAAAGGTCAGAGACAAAGCAAAGGCTCTGTGCTTGTTAGAAAAACTAACTGTGCTTGGCCTTTTCATTTTAAGGATTGGGAGACCTTCCAAGGATCCGCAGATACTCAAGAAGCACCCCTGGGTTCCCAGAAATGGCAGAAAGTGCACCATCTCTCCCACTTCCAGTCTTCCATGTGTGCTGTGTGGCATTAGAGGGTCCATCTGCTTCTCCCGTTTCTGTTTTCTCACCTCTATCCCAAGAATAACTCTAATCCCTGAAATGCCACCTGACACGGCTCTGTAAAACACATTACATCGAACAGATTCTTAGTGTTATTATATGTGGAAACGCAGAGGGAAATATTGCCGAAAAATCATCTGCTTGCATGATATAGTGGGAAGGGTATGCATTGAAAGGAATAGAGGATGGGTGTGGATTCTACCTTCACCACTCACTGGCTGTGTGGTCTCAGGTAAGTTATCTCACTTCTCCGAGCCTTACCTTTCTCATCTGCAAAAGGGGGATAGGCTGAGGGGGTAGATTAGGGGTGGAACACTTGTTCAGTCCCCAGCATCACACATAGAATGCCAGCCAGATAGATGTACTGCAAGAACTAACTCCAATGCCCTCTCTAAATGTCCTTGGCCTATAGAAA